GGGGTTTATCTAAGAAAAAGATGAAGATCAGAAACTATGAACAGTAAGGAGAATCAAGATGGCAGAGAAGTGAATGGAAGTCACACTGATCTCCTCCCAAACCAATCTGGAATTACAACTAAATTGTGGAAAGATCACCTGGAACAAACAACTGAACAATAGCGAGAGAGGAGCCTTATAATCTTGGACATTCAGAAGAATCAGCTTTAACAAAACCTAACTGGTAAGGAGTGTGGTAGAGACTTGAGAAGGCAGGCAGGGCACCCACCAGCACAGCACCAGAAGGACACTGAAATGACCAGTTGGATCCCCCTAAATGGGGTCTAAACCATAAGCAGAGATCTCCAGCCTACAGCACCTGAGTCCAAAAAGTACACAAATAACAACCAGCTGCGAAAGGTGACAGGGTTGCTCTCTGCCCGAGACAGGTGTATGGAGATGTAAAGAGTGTTTTAAAGGGCCAATGCATACATTTTTATTTCCAGCCACTAACCCTGGTTTCTGGCAAAGGGAGGGGCAGAGTGGGTTAGAGATGCCTGAGGAGAGGCTGGGGAAGGAGGCTTCAGGGAGAGAACAGAGAGAGTAGCCGGCAGGACCCCAGTGCTGACTCCTCCATACAGCAGCAGCCATCTGGCTCAGGCAGATCATTCCCCTGAGCGGCAGCAGCGAGAGAGGGCTCTGCCCTACCCCGTGGTGCCTAAGCATGACTGCTGAGTGCAGAGTGACTAGATTAACAAATGAAGGAGACAGCCACAGACAGTAGATTCCTGGAAGTCTCAAACAGACTGCCTAAGGTCAGACAGGGTCAACATCTGACATCAACAGCAGGTCCAGAAAGTAAAAACAGCGGTCTCTTACCATAGAGGTTCACACCACAAAGTCAGGAAATCAAGAGAGACCAATTTAAGCATCAGAACCAAAAGAGTCTCAGAAATAATGGGAAGACAAAGAAATATGCCCCACTCAAAGGGAAAGGAGCAATCCCCAGAAAGAGAACTAAATGAAAATAGAGGCAAATAAACTATATGATATTGAGTTCCAAACAATGGTTCTAAGGAAGTTCAATGAACTCAGTGAGCTCAGAGAGAATTACCAAAAACTACAGGGAAACTATGAGGAACTTATTGCAAACTGTATCAGCATGAAAAAGGACATAGAAACTATCAATAAGAGACAAGAGAAAATGAAGAATACCATTTCTGGATTGAGGAACACAGTAGAAGGAATCAAAAGCAGGCTAGATGAAGCAGAGGACCGAATCAGTGAGCTGGAGAACAAGATAGACAAAAGCTCCCAGAAAGAGCAAGAAAATGAAAAAAGACTCAAAAAGAATGAAGAGGCATTGAGGGAAATGCAGGACAACCTGAAACATAATAATATTCATATAACAGGGATACCAGAAGGAAAAGAGGATGAGGAAGGGATAGAAAACCTGTTTGAAAAAGTCATGATGGGAATCCTCTAATTGGAGGAGAGAAAAAGTCACACAAGTCCAGGAAGCACAGAAGGTCCCATTCAAGAGGAACCCAATGAGGCCCACTCCAAGACACATCATCATTAAAATGGCGAATATCAAAGACAGAGAATCCTAAATTAAGCAAGGGAGAAAGAAGTAATAACATATAAGGGAGCCCCAATACAGCTAGCATCTGACTTCTCAACAGAAACACTGCAAGCCAGAAGGGATTGGCAAGAAATATTCCAAGTCATGACAAGCAAAGGCCTGCAACTAAGACTGCTCTTCCCAGCCAGGCTCTCAATTAAAACGGAAGGTGAAATAAGGAGTTTCCCAGACAAGAGAAGGCTAAAAGAATACACCTACAGCAAACCAGCACTGCAAAATATGCTAAAGGGACTGCTTTAAGATGAGGAAAAAGTTTCTATGAATACCCAGTTCCTTTCAGAGTTGCCAATACTCGATATTACCAATATTTTTAATACTCATTAATTTGATTGTGACAATGATGTTATTTTAATTGTTCCTTTATTGTTTGTTGAAACTAAACCTGTTTTAGTATATTTCTTGCCTATTTCTTTTTTTTTTTTTAAGGCTTTAAATGACTTTTTGGTATTCTCTATCCGTTTATTGATTAAAAGTTTGTAGTACTGTTTTCAAAGAAAAACCAAACCTATTAACCATGTTTTAGATGTGTTGCAAATACTTTTCTATTCTATTCCTGGTCCTTTAATTTTTTTTATATGTATATTACTGTATAGTTAAATGGTTAATATAGTCATAATGCCAATATTTACTTCTGGGTTTGAATATTTTACTTCAGGTCATGAAAAATATTAGTTCTATTTTCTTCTAAAACTCCTTAGATTCTACATATTGATTTTTAACTCACGTGAATTATTTCTTGTATAATGTGTGAAATAGGACTCTATATTTGTTTTATTTCAAGCAATAGTGGTCCATGCACCTTATTTGTTGAATAAGCCTTATTTTACCCATTGACTTGAAATATCAACTTAATCATATATTGTTAGACAGATATATATGTTTGTCTCTAGAATGTTCATTATGTTTCATTGATCTCTTGATTATTTCTGTGCTGCTGCCATGTTGGTTTAATTGCTGAGATTTTATAAGGGTTTAAAATTTTTTAAATATAATTACCTTTGACATTTAAAAAAACAAATAAAATCAATCTGCATTTAAGAAAGAAAGAGAGATGGAATTGCTACCTTTTGTGATAACATGGATGAAACTGGAGAATATTAAGCAAAGTGAAATAAGCCAGTTGATAAAAAAAAAATACCATATGATCTCACCTATAAGTGGACCCTATTCTACAAAATAAACTAATGAACAAAATAAACCACAGGCATGGAAACATGGAGCAGACTGAAAGTGACCAGAGGGGATGGGGAAAGAGGACAATGGTGGAAAGAAGGGGAAGGGACTATACAAAGAACATGTATGAATGACCCATGGACATGGACAACAGTGTGGGAATTGACTGTGGGAGTGGGGGGTGGAGGTGGGATGGGTGGAGGGGGGTAAAAGGGGAAAAATTGAGACAATTATAATAGAACATGATTTATAAATTAAAAAATAAATATAACAAAAAAAGAAGAGTATAGGAAATTGCGAAGCCAAAGAACTTATATGTACAACCCATGGATATCAGCTGAGGGAGGGGATGATGGTGGATGATGGGGAGTGCAGGACAGAGGGGAATAAAGGGGAGAAAAAGAATGGCACAATGGTAATAGCATAATCAATAAAATATATATAGTAAAAAAAAAATGAAGTGAAAATGTCTGTATGTGTTTATCAATCAACAGCAGAATAAAATGCAGCAATTAGTGATTTTAGTGAAAATTGTTAATTTTATGTATAAAATAGTAAAAATATTATTTAGCAAAATAGATGGACAACACTATTAATATATTTAATAAGTTACAATGTCTCAAGAACATTGTATCTTAGAAAAAATTTATAAAAACACAAATAATGAGCACAATTAGATTTTACAATTTAATCTTTGCAGAACTATATTATGTACTAGAATTTATATTAAAGAAAACAACATTTAAGAGATGTATTTAAATTTTAATTAGTTATCTACATTTGAGTTGTAAGTCTTTCAAGAAAAGATTCTATTGGGGAATCCTTCATATCTTGTGATGGTGAACTAAAAACAATGTCCCCTCAAAATTATCAAGAGTTAGAAAAATATAGATTATATAAACAACAGGTATGCGATGATCCAAATATCTCTAATCAAAATAATAAAAAATGTTAAGACAAAAGTGTTAAGAGAAAATTTAGGTACCCTAAATATATTTTGTTTAGTCAAACCTCACAATAAAGACTCTATAAGAATGTGTTAAGACAGCTCCTATAGTCTTGAGCCTATGATGGCTAAACATTTAAAATGTAAAATGTTATACATGATCCTTTTCTGTATCTGAATGAACGGATTTTGAGACTTGCCTAAATTATGAATCCTAGTTTCTTTCCATAAATACCTTATTAAAAAATATTAAAACTCATTAAAAATATGAAAATGTATTAAAATTATTAAAACTTACTGATATTATTAAATGTGCTAGTTGAAGGTTCACGTATGTTTGGTATTCCTGATATAAAGTCCAGTGACAGCAAGAGAAACCTAACAACTCAAGTACGAAGATATTGTTCATGTACTATAATCTTAAACTTTTAAAATCTTACTACCACTGTTGACAACAATAAACTGTTAGTGTAATTTTTTGGGTAAAACAGTTCATCTACCCTAGAAGTTCATTCTATGTTACTGCTATCTTGTTTTAGCCCCAGGCAAATACTGATTTTAATATCTAGTCATTGGCATTTGGCCAAAATGTATATTTGGTACACTTCTACTAATTGGGATTTAGAGGGCTATCCCTGTTTCTTGGTAGAAAATCTAGTCAGCCTGGTTCAATATTTTTACCTTGCTACTTTTAGAAAACTCCCAGTTGCTCTTCTTGACAATAATATTCTCTATTCTTCCTTTCTTTGTACTCCTCATCACTTCAAATCTGTTCCACACAATTCAATACTAAATTATCTACTGTTTTGTACTGTTCACTGTGCTTACCTTATCTTCTCACAAGAAAGTTCTTCCTTGAGGGTACATAATTTAATATTGCACAATGTTTCTTTTGTATTGCTCATGGTGTCTAGCACAGTGTTGGTCATCTGATGTGTATTTACTAATTCACTAAGACCTAAGATGTTGCTGGCTAACCATCTTTGTGTTTTAATATAATTTTCCTTCATAGTTTTAGGCTATTCTATAAATAAACTACCCAAAGTTAAATATATCAAGGTTTGAACAAATAAGGGATTGCATTTAATAAAAGACAAATAATATTGTTTAGCGATGGAGAAAACAGACACTGTATTTAGATCTAAGACACTATAGGTATGTCAGTTTCTTCATGCCTTAGTCTGCCTATGGATTCTGCAAGGCAACCACATTAAAGTTAAAATAACTGAGAAAAAAAATCATTATGTTAACACCAACCTGAAAGTTCGGACAAGATTTTTAAGTTGTGTGTAAATATCTCCTAATGGAATCTGAAGAGGTCCCAAAAGTCCAGGCAATCTGAAAATAAAAAATATTTCTATTAAAATATAACTTAATTATACAGATAGATTTTTTGGCAGGGGGGAGGGTCTTGCCTAAGTCTGGATTTTCCACAGGTAATAATGGCACTTAGGTGGGGGCTGTTAAGCTGGGTTATGACTGGTGAGAAGTCATGAGAAAACAGTTCATAATAACCCTGCACTCCACTTTGTAGTCTATGCTACAGTGTGAGGCACTGAAATTTAAGAAATATTATTTTAGCTGCTATTTATATTGTCTCTAGTTTTCTTACCGCTTTACTTTCAAATATTAGACCAATTAGAAAGAACATAAGCCCAGAAGAACTGCCCTCCAAATGGTCAAATTTGGGAGTGTGGTGTATTTCTCATTATTAAATCCTTATAGTGGGAGTAAAAATTGCTACATTTCTAGAGAGCAAGTTGGCAATATACAATAACATTTTAAATGTGTATACTCTTTGGCCCACTAGCATTTAAAAAAAAAAAATATTGTACAGGAGTCATCACATAAACACTAAAAAGATGCTTGTTGCAGAAATAATTTTAGTAGTGAAAAAACTGAAAGAAATGTTCATCAAGGTGATTGGTCAAATAAATTATGATATACCTATATAGTGGAATATAATAAAGCCTTTAAAATGATAATGCAAATGTATTTTTTTAAATGTGGAAAGATACTCATGGTAAATGTTAAGTGAAAAATGCATACTGTTCCATTTTTACAAAAACATAAATATTATACAATGCTATTGTATATAATACAAATTATATGTCAAATGTTTCATGTCTTTCAGATTTATACTACAATAGAAGGAACCAAAGGGAATGAATACACATATATTCAGATATACATATATCACATGTATGTCAAGTATAAAATCAAAATATTAATTGTAGTTACTGTTGAGTTCTGGGATTACAGGTGATTGTAACTTCTTTCTTTATATCATTTTGTAATACTTAAATCTTCTGCAATAAGTATGTATTGCTTTTCTTTTTAAAACTTATTATGAAAGTTTCAAACATGTTCCAAAATACAGAGAATAGCAATGATAACCCCATATATGTTCTCAGATTCAACTTCCCACTATTTTCTTATATATGCCTCATTTTTTCCTTCCTTCCTTGTTTTCTCTGTAATATTTTAAAGTGAATATCTGACATAATGTCACTAGACCCCTAAGTATTTCCTTAGGTATCTCTAAATACAGAGGCATTTTCTTATAGAACCACAATAAAAACATTATCATAATTAATAACATTCCAAATTAATAATTCCTTAATATCATCTAATACTCAGTACCGACTTCATTTTCTTTGATTATCTAAAAAAAAATGCCCTTTTGCAATCGTCTGTTCCAGAAACCAAAAACGTCTTCGTTTTTTAATGAGAAAAACTCAACTACTTCTATAAACAACCAACTGACCAACCAAAAAACCCCTATGTCACCATAATTATTTTGTTTTTCAGTGTTCTTTGTGCTTTTAAGTTATTCCACCTCTTCTCAAATTTAGTTCTTTTGTTAAAACTTTAGTCTTCTAGCAGGATTCCTTTTGGTATCTTCTGTTGTAGCCAAAACCCAGAAAGAACAGCATTCCTTCAAAGACATGTCTGTGTGGTCTTAAATTTAAAATTAGGTACTTTCATTAGCTAAATTTCTAGAAAACTATCTTCAGATAAATCTCTATCTATTGTCTATATACAGCACTATAGATAATCCATCCCGACTTTCAAAAACTATATAACTAAGGTCAAGTCCTGTTGTAGTAATTAGAGATATGGTGACTTATACTGTTTCTTTACCTAGTATTTATCAGAAACAAATGTATAATATATAAAAGGCAAAATAACAGATTTATCATATATGAAGAACCTAACATATAGAAGACACACAATAAATATTACTTTAAAGATTTATTTAGCCCTGGCTGGCGTGGCTCAGTGGACTGAGCGCCAACCTGCAAACCAAAGGGTCGCAGGTCAGATTCCCAGTTAGGACACGTGCCTGGATTGCCAGTCTGGTCCCCAGTAGTGGAAGTGTGAGAGGCAATCACACATTGATGTTTCTTTCCCTCTCTTTCTTCTTCCCTTCCCCTCTAAAAATAAATAAATGAAATCTTGAAAAACACAAAGATTTATTTAAAATGTAAATCTCAGAGTAAGCTCCTTAAAATATATATGGCTTCCAAAAAATGAGTCTTTGTTATTTTTGAACAACTACAAAATTAAGACTTCTCCGCATGTACAACCCCTTCAGCAATGACTGAAAACACCTTTCCACCTTCTCTGTTAAAGAAAGAAAATGCAGGTTGAAAAGTTCAAAACAGCTTTCACACCTCTGGAAAAAAGATTTTTAAGCTTCATTTAAAAGAGAAACCAAGATTGCAATTTTTAAATGTCATTTATAACTGGATTAATTACAAGAACAGTAATTTCCACCACGGGAAGCTTAAAACTAAAGTGCAAAGTTGAGCTGAACAAAAACTCAAGTTGCTGATTGTGAAATTATTCTATGAATATGTATGCAGAGTGAGTTAATAGACCGTTAAAACTATATGTCTTATTCATATGTGGAACTGATGTGACACATTTACCACAAATCAGTATTTAAATGGGTCTAGCTTTGATATTTTTTTCCCTGACTTCACTGGATTATTAAGTTGAAATGAGGTAGTCTGGTTTTTTACTCCCATAATCTCAATCTTCCTCTTTACTTTGTGCCTCCTGTACACAAAACTTAAATTCAATATTTCCTTGGTAGGATATCTTAAAAATCTAAATTTCTCAGGTAAAGACATCCACATAAACTTTTCATGTTATACTTCATTGTTCAAAATTCCATGATAATTATAAATTATAAACCTACAATAACAAAGTTAATTTATAAACATTGTACAAGTGGAATGACCATAACATACTTACATTTTACTCAATTTTTCAAGTACGATGCATTTTCTAATCTGGTTCTGAGAACTTGAATCTATCAGTGGAAAGGTGGGATCATGCTGAATCATATTTTTAAACAAAACAAAACAAAATCATGAATTTATATTTTTTTTCTTTGATAAGAACAATTAACATTAAAACACATAAGTTAATACCTGTGGTACGGTAGAATAAACTAAACTTGAAAATTATAAGATTTAAATTTGAGTATCAGTTCAGTCATTAGGCTGATGTGAATTTGCTTGAGTCATTTGTCCTCTTTTGGGAGTGTTTTCTCATCTGTATAAAAGGAACACTAAATGTGTACAAAAAGACTGTAAACTGCTAAATGCTATATAAATGTAGGAGATTAAAAGATTAAAATTAGCAAATACTATAAACATATTGTGGGGAATTCCGCTTCTAGAAATGGCAACCAAGATAATTGAAACCACTCCTCCTGCTGAGAGAACTGAAAAAGCTAGGAAAAAACCCACATTTGTTTGAAAGCATCAGATTGCTAACAAGGCAGTAAAGAATTATGGCCTGAGATTCTGGAGAAGGTAATTCTAGAGAGGTCACTGACTAATTTCAGAAGAGGCAATTTAGATACTGAGAACCTGAGCACTGCTCTTTTAATAAACACCAGAGTTTGGGGCATGCCAAGAAGGAAGAGGCACTAGCAACCCTTCCCATGTTTGAGACCAGGACTTAGAAGGATCACACTCGAGGAATAAGAATGAGTAGGAAACAGGCTGAATCTTGTATGGACTGAAGCCCAGCTTCGAATCATCTTAATTCCTGATTGGATTAAGGTGATTCATCCACCTTAATAATATGCCAGAAGCAAACAGATCCATTCTAGAGAAAGGTAATATCAGCCTGGGCCTCAAGTTATCTCAGTAATTTTTAATATACAATGTTTGTCACATAATGAAACAATAAGACAACATAATCAAAACCTGAAACATTAGTCCACAGAAATCAACCTTCAGGAAATCCAGATAATAAAGTTATCATCTTATTTATTTAAAGTAACTGTGTTAAATATATTCAAAGAAATGACAAGAAAATGTCAGCCGAGAACTCAAAACTATGAGAACCAAATGAAAATCCTAGAACTGAAAAATACAGTATTTAAAAGAACTTAATGGACAGATTTAATTGAGATAATGCTGACTTGGAAAATATCCAGAATGAAGCATAGTCACATGCAACACCCCTTTAAATCCTCCACATAATGCAAAGCACAGAAAAATATGACAAAGAAGATACAGTGAAAAGGATAGCTGTACCTGATAATATTTGAGAATGATCCATTAAGTCACAGATTCAAGTATTACAACAGCCAAAAGAACAAATATAACTACACCTTTGCAAAGCATTTTAAAGTTGAGGGTAACCAAAGTAAAAAAAAAATCTTAAAAGTAGCTAAAGGAAAAAAACAATATTTGCAAGAAAAAAAAAAGGCAGCAATAAGAATAATAAATGGAAGCCAAAGACAAGGACATATTTTCAATAGGCTGGAAGAAAATAATTGCTAATCTAGAAGTCAATATTCAGGAAAATATCTTTCAAAAGTAAAAGTGAAATTAAAATTTTTGCTACAAATAAAAATAGAAAATTTACCACTAGCAAACCAGCACTAACAGAAGCAAAGGATACTCTTTAGGCCCAAGGAGAATGATCCCAGATGGAAGAATGGAGATGCAGTAAGAAGTGAAAAACAATGAAGGAGTAATTAATTAGACAAATCCAACTGAATATTGACTATAAATAATCTTGTAGGATTTAAAATGTAGAGAGAACAAAAGTACACAACAAGAGCACATAAGTAAAGTGGGGGTAAATGAAGTTAAAGTTCTAAATTTCTAATTGTCCAGGAAGCAATAAAAGTATTAAGTTACATTCGACGTTAATAAGACCAAGATTCAGGTTTTAATCTTTAGGATAACCACTTGACAATTAGCAAAAAATGTATAAGAAGCTAATAGATGATAAAAAATGGAATAATGATATTTAGTACAAAGAAAGCAAAAAAAGGAAAGAAAGGGGAACACAGAGCAGTTGAAATGCAGAAAGCAACAAGCAATGAGTGAGATGGTAAATTTAAACCCAATTATATCAATTCTGACATTAAATGTAAATGGACTAAATCCTTCACATAAAGGATAAAGATTATTAGCTCATATTTAAAAAAAAGATAGTCCTTGAAAATACTAATAAAGAATGCTTGTGTCAGCAAAGTAGACTCTGAGGGGGAGAAAATCAATGTAGAAAAAGGTTATGCTAAAGACTCAATTTTCAAGGAAGATGTACAGTCTTACATTTGCACCCAATAACATAATCTCAAAATATTAAAAATAAAATTCATAAAACTAAAAGGAGAAATAATAAATCCATTATGGTAAGGGATTTTGACCTACCTCTTCTACTTGTGAGGGAATGAGCAAAGAAACAAAAATCAATGATGCTTCTGAAACTCTGATGTGTACACATTTCCTAAAAGGAAAACAATGAAATCTGACCTATACCCCTCACAATAAATAAAAATCAATCCCAAATGAATTGCAGATTTCAATGTGAAAGGAAAACAACAAAGCTTCTAGAAGATTAAATAACCTGGGCTAAACAAATATTCTTAAAGAAGTCACTAGATTGAAGACACCAGTAATGAAGTGAAAGGGCAAGTCTCAGAGTGAAAGATGGTATTCACAATACACGTAACTAAAAATGGGCTTGAATCCTGATAAATTCCTACAGAGCAATAAGAAAAAAATACCTAGATATATTCAACAGGTAAATGGAAAAAAAGACTCTGGCACTTCAGAAAACAGACTATCCAAATGGTCACTACATAAATGAAACAGTGCTTGATTCATTAATCATCAGAGAAATGTAACCAAAAAGCAATAGCACCAGAATGTTAAAAACTAACACGCAAAAATTGTAAGAGTATGGAGTAATGGAAATTCTCAGACTGTGGTAGCAGATTATAAGCGGCCACAACCATTTTGGAAAACCATTTGTCATTATCTCGCTTGGTGCATATACCCATACATTATGACCCAGAAATTCCAGTTCTAGGTACATACCCAACAGAAATGCATGCATATTAGGAAAGAAATAAAGGGTCTGGCACAAATAACACCCCTTTTTATTACAAAATCATAAGCATGTAATTCTGTAACATAATAATATCACACTCAAGCACACTATATGACATTTTAGGTGAAATGTCCGAATTAAGACTGTAAGTTATTACACCCATATTATTACCCTACCAACCACACTCAAACAGGCTTTACTTTTGCTGGGCCCTGTATATAGGAAAGTTCGTAACAGCAGTTCACAATCGCCCCAAACTGAAATAACCTAAATGCTTTTATTTATTTATTTATTTACTTACTTATTTATTGATATATAAAAAATATAAATTGTGATACATTTCTATAATGGAATACTATGCAGTGATAAAAGAATAAAACTAGAGTTACAGGCAACACCACAAATGGTTCGTGACCATAATGTTGCATGAACTAAATTGGATACCAAAGAATATATACTGTGTGAATCTATTTACAAATAGTTCAAAATTGGCAAAACCTGTGCTATTATAATAGGCATTCATTTTGGAAAGAGGTAATGACTAGTTGGAGACATAGCGGGGCTCTGGTTTACTCAAATTTCTTGGTCTGGATAGTGTTTATTTGTGATAATTCAATGAACTGTACACTTATTATTTGCATTATACTTCAATGGAAAAGTTCTATAATGCTGTGCAACAGAGGAGCAGTCAAATTTCAGGGATTAATTTTTCTTTTTTGAGGCTTATTAGGAAAAAAATAATAAAAACAAGTTATGTACTAAGGTAGGTTTATGCAGCTGACAGAAATCAATGTTTCTCCACGTTGAATTTAAAAGTTATGTATTTGAAAAAATAAATTAAAAAATAAAAGTTATGGATGTTGTCTAATCATACAATTGAAGTGATTTCAAATACAGTACAGATTTAAACAATATTCTGTAGAAATTTAAGAAATTCCTAAATTTTTTCTATTTTCACTTTTACCTTCTTTGTAAATTTCCAAATGTGTTATTAAATTTAGAGCGGCATTTACTCACAAATCTTTAGTAACAAAGTTTTGTGGTAAAAACCAGGATACTGCCTACTCCTCTTCATGTCAAATGACTTAATTTCTCAAACTGCACATCAACCAAAACTGGGAATTAGAAATACTAAAAAAATCTCCCTATATGTCAGTGGCATACACTCAGTCTCTACATATAACTACTATTTACTAACTACCAACTATATGTAAAGTACTGTGATAAATTACTTACACACATTATCTTTAAAATTTATAACAACTGAGCAAGGAAAGCCATTTACAGGTATGCACTCAAACTCAAGAAACTACCAGAAATGACAGGGCAGATACTCAAACCCAGGTCTTACCTGAATGTGCTCTTTCCACTTTCTCTATGTCTATTATTTCCCAATAAGTCTCCTCTAATATATTATTTTCATTTATAATGTTTTAAGTGGGCATGTTTGCCAAATATTATACAAATGAATATTTCAACATTCAACTGGTAAATCTACTCCACTGTACACAGTCCCATTGAAAAATAAAACACAAAGCACAAAAATACATACCCCATGAAGAAATCTGAAAGTATACATACCAATAAAGAAAAAACAAGCCTCGTCAGAGGTTCTACATATTATATAAAGAGCTAGGTTTAAAGAAAACTCTGTCCCACAATTCTAGGCTATTTATACACTAGAGAAAAGTGTTCTACATGGATGAAAACTTTCAGGGGCAAACTTCAACTTATTTGTAAAATAGTAATGTCAATATTGGAGATGGCATTTTAAACCAAAAGACTGACCAACTAAAGAAGACTTCTGAAGATTTAACAATTATTTCTTCAGTATTTTTCTTCCTGCTCCAAGATTTGCTATGGTGAGTGTTCCTTATGTTAGCAACATGGAAAACTCATCATGATTAAGACATACCTCTTCTGAGTCTTGAGATTTGGTGGTTTCTTCATTTAAAACATATCGTCCTTTATAAAACTCTCTGATCCTTAGGTTTAATGTTTCAGTTTCTTTTTTCAAGCTCTCATAACTTGGCAGTGGTTTAATGGCTGTATCTGAGGCCCTAAAAGGCAAAGACTCATCCAAGCTGTCCTGAGATTCCTGTAAGGCAGGAGAATGACTATCTGGGTCAGAGTTTATGTCATCTTCATCAAGTTCTTCTTTAACCAGAGGGGCTGAAGCATAATTCTGGCCATTCAAAAACCTCAAAGTTTCTTCGGTCCTCCACTCAATCAAAGTCTCCTTCAGAACTCTAAGTAAGTTTGCCTTTGCAACTTCAGGACACACCTGCACTGAACTAGAAGCTGACCTAGAAACTTGGTTTGATTTGGCAAATTTCCTCTTAAAATGCTCAGCACTTTTCTTACTTATGCCTACTAGAGTTATTTCTGAACTGTTGTATTTATTTTCAGAAATTTCTGAAGTTTCTACTTTTTCTTGCAAAGGACTATTTGAAGGAATCTGAGTATTGACTTTCTGTAAAGGAAGTTCACAAGCAGGAGCTTTCTCTTGGTTATCTAATCTGCAATTGCTTAACTGCTCAGTGACATCTATTACTGTCTGTTCTTTGTCTTCTTGCTTGAAGTTAGCTTTTTGACCAGCTTTCTTTTTCATGATGCTTTTTTTGTGCAGCTGTGGCCTTATACCCGTTGCATTTGGTCTGTTTCCTGGTAGAATGGAGGAAACAAAGTCTTGTTCATTATCACTGCAACTATCACTGTGAGTGCTAGAAGAACTAGATTCATACTGTTTCTCAAAATGGCCGGGATTGTCAATATCTGAAGTTTTAATGGCCTTACTGCATAACTGTACTTCTTCTCCAGAATGGCCACTGTGGAAGAAAAGAAACAAAATAACTGTAAAAGAAAGACAGAATGTCCCACAGTATTCATACTTTGTACCTTTCAAGGCAGACATTTTTATTCCCTATGCAAAGCCTTATTCATAGGCATATAATTACATAAATGTGTGTGTTTCTTCAGAAGAAAACTCTAATTCTGTAATTCCTGTACACCTTATTTGTTTGCCATAATTCTCTTCTTTCCTTGTCCTTTCCCCCCAGTTAATATTTTTATCCTCACCCAAGGACATTTTTCTATTGCTTTTTTAGAAGGAGAAGAAAGGGGTGGGAGGGTGGGAAACATTGATGACAGCGAGAAACATTGACTTGTTGCCTCTCACAGGCTCCCCCAACTGGGGATTGAACCCACAATCTAGGTATGTGTCCTGACCAGGAATTGAACTCGCAGCCATTTGGTGTACAGAACAATGCTCTAATCAACAGAGCCACACTGGCTGAGGCCTCCTCAATTATTTTAAAAGTGTTAGAACAAAAAAAGAAAAAAGGAACATTTGATAATTTCAACCTACTGAATTATTTTTGATTTTGGCCTGCTCCATTTCTATGACTGTTTCATATATCCTTTTTTAAAAAAGGGTTTTCTTTTTTCTTTCGAAAATTTCATTAATAGTTTCTCAAACAAATATATATATATGTATACACACATGCACACATATTATAGAAACTATGTTTAGACTTTGAAAGATAAAAAGGGATGTTTAAACATTTTCCAATACTGATTGATAGTTATACAGAAAATCTCAAAGAATGAAAAATATAAGAAAATCAGTCACAGCAGAAAATAAAGTTAGCAAATCAAAATTTGTTAATAAAAGATATTTATACTTGAAACTCCAGAATTAAAATATAATGCTCAAATAAAAGACAACAATTTTCCCTTTGACTGCATTCCTTCAATTTTCAGGTTTAAAAAAATTAGGAATTATGAAAGAGTGAAGGCAAAAAGTTAACACTGTCTATACAAACTTGAGGTAAAGAAGGATGGGTAAGTAGTTACTCTTAAGCTAATGCATGTATCAGAGCTATGAAGGATCCAGACAAGGAGGATTCTGGGTCAAGAAGTATGTAGTGGCTAGTGAGAGAGAGTATGGGAACTCTCTATTTTTCATGCAATTTTTCTGTAAACCTAAATTGCTCCCCCCCAAACGGCTATTAAATTTTTAAAAATGATTTTTAAAACTAAAATGAAATAAAATAATGGAGCAATTAAAAAAACAACATGTCGTGTGGGGAGATTGTGGAGGGGAATGTAAAAGAAGAAGAACTAAGAGTTCAAAGTAAGATTGTGGATAGGAATGAAGAAAGGATGACAAATTTATTTAGTATTAGATACCAGTTTTTAGTTAGAGTCTAGCCTATACTGCCATGGGACTTGCTGCTCGTTAAGCATAATTTTGGGGAAAAAAAAAACAATTAAACTTTCGTGCATTTCATACTTTCCCTTGAAATTTGAAGGTATTATTATTTCAGCAAATTTAAAAAAAATCCTCACCTGAGGATATGTTCATTGATTTTTAGAGAGAGAGGAGTGGTGGGGAAGAGAGCAGGGGAGTAGGGGGAGAGAGGGAGAGAGACAGAGACAGAGAGAGACAGAGAGACACATCAGTGTTTGAGAGAAACATGGATCAGTTGCCTCCCATAAGCACCCCAAATAGAGATTGAACCTGCAACCTAAGTATGTGCCCTGACCAGGAATTGAACCCACAACCTTATGACGTGTGGGATGATGCTCCAACCAACTAACCAACCCACCAGAGCTGAAGGTTTTATATTTTTTTAATACTACTTTCAGCTATAAATTAAAGGATCAATAAATAAATCTCTCTTACTTATGCTCAAGTCCATGTAACTAAGGTAGTGACTAATAACCAAGAAAATTTATTCTGGGAGATAAAAGGAACATCTTTCAGTGTCTGAAAGATGATTATGGTTAGGTAAACAACATCATGAGGGGAGTTTAAGGAAAAAAAATCACAACTTGGAATTTTTATTAATGCTTTAGACACCCTTTCAAATAATTAAATATTGATACCTTAATGTTTTGAAATCCTATTAAAAAAGACTATAAAAACTTTTCAGCAAGTGTAATTGGCACAATGTAGTTGGCAAAGCAGCATAGTATCTCAGATGGAAGCTGTATTTGTGTCATATTTCAACAGGTTTAATTAGACTTTCTTGGTAGAAACAGCTGTACAATAAATCATACAGAGTAAACACACCATCTTACCATCACAAAGGAAAAAGCTGTACAAGGCAAATATTTCTTTGTGTGGGCTAGAATGGGTACTTACATAATGCATCAGCACAGGAAGTCCAAGAGCTCATACCACCTGGTTTACTCTTAATGTTTCTATTAACATGAATATAGAGAGGGTAAGTGACACTGATTCAACCATACCTCTGTCCTTCCTGCAGCAGCTGAAAATCAGGATGCCTGTGACAAAAACACAGAAATAAAAAATTGAAGGTAACTGATATGCCAAACACTATTAAGTGTTTACAGATCAAGTGGAGAGAAAATACAATTTAAAAACCAATTGTATATTTCACTGATCTAGAACAAATACTCAAAAAATTTATACAAAACCAAAAGGCCCTCAACAGCCTAAGCAATCTTGAGAAAGAACAAAGTTGGAGGGATCATAATATCTGATATAAAACTAAACTACAAAGCCACTTGTAATCAAAACAGCCTGGTACTGGCGTAAGAATAGACACACAGATTAATGGAACAGAAGAGAGAGCTCAGAAATAAACCCGTCTCTATGGTTAATTAATATATGACAAAGGGGGCATGAGCATACATTGGAATAAAAATAGTTTCTTCAATAAATGGTATTGGGAGAAGTAGACTGGTACATTAAAAAAAAATGCAACTAGACCACTAATTTATACCATACACCAGAATAAACTCAAAGTGGATAAAAGATTTAAATATAAGTTGTGATACCATAAAAATCCTAGAAGAAAACACAGGCAGTAAAATTTCAGATATCCCATCAGAGCAATATTTTTGCCAATGTATCTCCTAGGCAAGGGAAATAAAGGAAAAAATAAACAAATGGGACTATATCAAATTAAAAAGCTCCTGCACAGCTAAAGAAACTATCGTCAAAATGAAAAGGGAACCAATGGTATGGGGAAACATATTTGCCAATGATACCTCGGATAAGGGTTTAATATCCAAAATATGTAAAGAACTCATATGACTCAACACCAGTAAGACAAACAATCCCATTAGAAAATGGGAAAGGGACCTAAATAGACACTTCTTCAAGGAGGACATACAGAAGGCCCATAGACATATGAAAATGTGCTCAACATCACTAGCCATCAGAGAGATGCAAATTAAAACCACAATGAGATATCACCTCACACCAGTGAGAATGGCTATCATAAACAAATCAACAAACAACAAGTACTGACAAGGATGTGCAGAAAAGGGAACCCTAGTGCACTGTTGGTGGGAATGTAGACTGGTGAAGCTGCTGTGGAAAACACTATGGAATTTCCTAAAATAATAAAAAATGGAACTGCCTTTTGGCCCAGTGATTCCACTGCTGCGAATATACACTAAAAATCCCAAAACACCAATTCAAAAGAACTCATGCACTCCTATGTTCATAGCAGCGCTATTTACAATAGCCAAGTGCTGGAAACAGCCTAAGTGCCCATCGGTAGATGAGTGAATCAAAAAACTATGGTACATTTATACAATGGAATACTATGCAGAAGAAAGAACGAACTCCTATCTTTTGCAACAGCATGATGGAACCGGAGAATATTATAATAAGCGAAATACGCCGACAGTCAGTGAAAGACAAATACCATATGATATCACTTATAAGAGGAATCTAATGAAAACAAACTAACAAGCAAAATAGAAGTGGGGGCATGGAAACTCGAAGAGACTGACGACAGCCAGAGGGAAGGGGAGAGGGAGATAATGGTGGAAAGGTGGGGAAGGGCCTAGTTAAAGAACATGTATGAATGACCCATGGACATGGATAACGGTGCGGGGATTGACTGTGGGAGTGGGGGTGGGCTGGGCAGAGCAGGGCAAATGGGAAAAAATGGGGACAACTGTAACAGAAAAACAATAAAAAAAGAAGATATAATTAAAAGGATATAGTTCATATAAAGATTTTTTAAGAAAAAAATTAAGGGACAAAATATTATGAAACTCGTCCATAAGAAAGCTGGATTAATCTCTCTCTCTAGCCAAAACTTACTCATATTTCAAAACTAAGTTCAAATTCCATGAGGCAAATAAAGTTTTCCCTGACTTACCTGTTAATGTAAATCACTCCTTTCTCTAAATTCCAAAGTATGTACAATTAATATATATTAATCATGTACTCTATGACCTAATACTGCATTTATTATCTAAATGTCTTACTTTTCATGTTTAATTCTGATTTCTTAAATAGAACACAAGCACCTTGAGAGCAGATACTATACAAACTTCTGTATTTCCTTTATATAGTTAGTAAGGCTTTTCGCTCTAATTTCTGAGAAGGCAGTTGTATTGTAGCATGGATGTGAACTATGTAGAGAGGTGGTTTAATTTAACTCTAGGGATAATTTTGTTATACAATACCAGAAAAAAACATTTGGCTGGGAATTATAATACTAAAAAGAGGGAGGAAAAGCTCTTAGAAACATAGATATAAAAAAGGAGCCAATATAATAGCAGGTGAGTCCAAGAGGACAAGAAAACTGTAAAATACTTCTGAAGTGACTCAGAAAACATGCCTTTTAGAGACTATAAAATGGATTAAATGAAAGTAAGTATACAAAGAACTAAATGGAATGATATTCTGCATTCATAGATAGGAAGACAGTATTGTCAAGATGTTAGTTCATCTCAACTTGATCTACAGATTCAATGCAATCCAACCATAATCCCAGGAAGTTGTTTTGCGAATGTCAACAAATTGATTCTAAAGTTTTTACAGAGAGGCAAATACCCACATTAGTTAACACACTACTGAAGGAGAACAAAGTTGGAGAACTAACATTACCTTACTTTAAGACTTACTATTAATATAAAACTATAGTACTTCAAGACAGAATGGTATTGGAGAAATAACACATAGATAATTAGAACAGAATAGAAAGTCCTAGAAATAGAACTACATGAACATAGTCAACTGATCTCTAACAAAGGAAAAGAGGCAATACAATGGAAAAAAGACAGCCTTTTCAAAAAGTAGTGCTGGAACAACTGAATGTCCACATGCAAAAAAATGAATCTGGACACAGACCTTACACCCTTCACACACACAAAAAAACAACAAATAACCAATCTACCAACCTCAAAATAGATCGTTGACCTAAATGTAAAATGCAAAAGTATAAAGCTACTAGAAGATAACGTAGGAGTAAATCTCAAAGACTTTTTAGATATGACACCAAAAGCACGATCCATGAAAGAAAGAATTGATAAGCCAGGCCATTAAAATTAAAAATTTATGCTCTGCAAAAGATACTGTCAAGAAAATAAAAAGACAAGTGACAGATTAGGAGAAAAATAATTGCAAAAGACATACCTGATATAGAACTGTTATCCAAAAAAGGAAAGAACTCTTAAAGCATAGTAAGAAAATAAACAACTCAGTTCAAAACTGGACCAAAGGCCCTGGCCAGGTGGCTCAGTTGGTTGGAGTACTGTCCTATACACCAAAAAGGTGGCCAGTTCAATTCCTGCTCAGGGCACACAGCTAGGCTGCAGGTTCAATCAAGTCGGGGTGGGTACAGGAGACAACTGATTGATGTTTCTCCCTTCCTCCCTTGCTCCCTCCCTCCCCACTTTCCTTTCTCTCTAAAACAAATAAACATATCCTTGGGTGAGGATTACAAAAAAAAAAAAGGACTGAAGATCTTAACAGACACTTCACCAAAGAAGATACATAAAAAAGAAAAAAAAAAAGATATACAGATGGCAAATAAGCATATGTAAAGTTGTTCTACATCATGTTATCAGGAAAATGCAAATTAAAACAGTAAGACAACACAATACACCTCTTAGAATAGCTCAAATTCACTATACTGAATTTGATCCAAGGGTCCATATGTTTTTGTTCCCCCCCCATTAATATGTTAAATCCTAACGCACAATGTGATGGCATGAAAAGGTGGGCACTTGGGAGGTAATTAGGTCATGCTGGCAACGCCCATCAATGGGATTAATGCTTTCATAAGAAACACTAGAAAGAGCCCTTCTCATTCTACCATGTGAGGATGTAACTAGAAGTCTACAATCCAGAAGAGGGTCCTTACCCAACCATACTGACATCCTAATCTCAGACTTCCAGTATCTGTAACAATGAGAAGAAATTCTTGTTGTTTGTAAGTCACTCAGTCTGTACTATTTTGTTACAGCAGCCTGAAGAGATTTAGACATGCACCAAAGACCTTAACAGACACCTCACCAAAGAAGATATACATATGGCAAATAAACATATGAAGAGATGCTTCACCTCAAATATCATCAGAGAAATGCAAATTAAAATAAAAATGAAATACCATTACATACCTATTAAAATAGCCAAAATCTAGAACACTGACATCCAATGCTGATGAGGATATGAGGATGAACTCCTGGTGGAAATGCGCAAAATGGTACGGCCACTTTGGAAGACAGTTTGGTGACTTCTGACAACACTAAACATACTCTTACCATAAAATCCACAAATTATGCACCTTGGTATTTATCCAAAGGAGCTGAAAACCTATGTCCACACAAAAACCTATATATAGATATTTATAGCAGCTCTATTCATAACTGCCAATATTTGGAAGCAACTAGATGCCCTTCAGTAGGTGAATGGATAAATAAACTGCGGTACATCCACACAATGGAATATTATTCAGCACTAAAAGAAATAAGCCATCAAGCTATGAAAAGACATGGAAGAAACTTAAATGCATATTATTAAGTAAAAGAAGGTGGTCTGAAAGGCTATCTACTGTTAATAATTTCAACTATATAACATCCTGGAAAAGGTAAAACTAAGACTAAAAATATCAGGAGTTATGTGGGATAGGGAGCAGGGTAGAGAGAGAAGAATAGGTTGAGCACAGAGGATTTTTAGGGCATGATACTCCAAATGGTAGACACAAGTCATTATACATTTGTCCAAACCCATAGTGAACCCTAATGTAAACCATGGACTTTGGGTGATAATAACATATTGATGTAGGCTCATCAAATGTAATACATGCACCACTTGGGAGGGGATGTTGCTATTGGGGCAGGCTATGATTTATGTGGGTGCAGGGGACCTTTGGAAAATCTCTGTACCTTCTCCATTTTGCTGTGAACCAAAAATTGCTCTAAAAAGTCAATTAATAGAAGAAAAGGTAAATTTAAGGAAGTATGTGTGTATTACAGAGAAGCTAAGGCACTGAGCATAAATTCCATTTAAAGGG